GAATATGTGCTAGTAGGATTGTTTTGACATACGGGTAATTATCAATCCATCTCTTCTTATATCTTACGCTTCTAGGATGAAATGAACTGACTATTGAATAGAATCATAGAATGGTTTGGGTGGGAAAGGACCTTAAAGATCATCTAGTTCCAATCCCCCTGCCATGGGCAGGGGCACCTCCCAATAGACCAAGTTACTCAAATCCCCATCCAGCCTAACCTTGAACACTTCCAGGAAAGGACATCTACAGCTTCTCTGGGTGACCTGTTCCAGTGCCTCACCACCCTCATAATGAAGAATTTCTTCCTTACATCTAATCTAAAGCTACCTTCTTTCAGTTTAAAGCCATTAAATATGATAAATGGTTCAACAGCTATTACCAATTTGCTTTCTGTGATGAACAGTTGTTTTGTTTTAGCAATAAATTCTATTTAAAAACAGCAAAAATACCCAAAATACCAGACCTGGAGATAAAACTATGTTCATTATTTCACTGCCTTTATCTTCTGTGAGTAAACTTTTAATAGAATATATTTAGCAATCTGTTGTATGACAAGAGCTTAGTATGAATAAATAACTCCATTCATTTGACAGTAGGTTGTTAAAATGTATTACTCTATAGAGTCTATAGAGATTTTTGTTCTTTGGCTTCTATTCATCTATGGTACATTTTCATTAAATAAAATGTTTATAATTATTCCCGTGTATCTACATGAAAACATTAACTAAGGACCAAGCCTCTTGAGATTCCATCAGTAGTAGAGTCTTCTTGTAGGAGGAAAGAATCTCAGAAGTAGCTGATGTAAAACTTTTTTATACTCGCAATCAGTGTAACCTCAATATTAAATTTTCTGACTGCTGACACAGCAGGAGTGTAGAAAAATCTGTCAAAATATAAGTAATAACTACTGATTTATAGAGGAACTGCTGATATAAAGAATTTTAAATCTACTTTCCCTTGATTTGAAATCTACTGCACAAAAAAGGAAATTGCTATTCTGCCAACATTCACACTGTTGATAAACTTAATATTTTGCAAAAGTGGCAAAATAATATTAATCTATTATTCTACTTTTGGGTTTTTTTAGCTGTCAAAAAGAAGATTTGAAAGCCATGTGTCAATGTCAAAAGCCTGGTGCTACGGAACTGAACAGGGGAATTTGGGAATTTACTCCACTGCAGCAGCATCTCTAACTTGATTTAATCAGCCAACAGATCTGGTAAACAGCTTAATCTTTTTTTGTTGTTGATCCCTGCTCCCATTCACTGACAACCATGGCATATACAGGCAGGGTGGTGAACAGGGCAGAGACAGGTTTTTGCAGCTGCAGGTGACTTCCGAGTGCCTTAACATTTATCTGTGCTGCTGCCCACTGGAGCAAGTGTTCAGGGCCAAGGCATGATGTAGACAAACACCACAAAGAGTGAACCCTTGTCTTCATTGTATATTAATAAATTCAGAGTAACTCAACCATCTGGCTGAATCATTTTAATTTAGGCTGAAATTTCTGAGCACGGTGTGACCCTTCTGAGACCAAGAGTTTAAAATTTAGTTGCCTTTGATTCCTCGTCTGATTTTCAAAGATTATTCAGCAGTCCCATCGAGGGGACTTGGTGCTTTGGAAATTGTAACTGAGGTACATGCATACAGCAATGGAAGTTTTAGTAGAGAGATGAATGGGTATGTGAAACCTAGAGAATGGATGAAGCATGCAAACATTTTAGTAGATGGTTGCATGGAACCTAGAGAAAAAGATATCAGTAAAACATGCAGAAATTTTAGTAGCTCTCTGAATGGCTGGATGGGACCTAAAAAAAGGAATGAGCAAATTGATATCAAAATTCAATTATTATTCCAGAAATTGGGAATACAATTATAACAATATTCAGCATGTTTGATAATGTTAAAATTGAAAAAAAAAAAAAAAGGCAGAAGAATGCAAATTGAATGAGTATGAGATAACATAGTAAATTTTGTGGAATTTCTGTTGAGTCACTTTTTTCTCTGAAAATAAAATGATGATCATATATAACCTGATTTTTTTAGTAAGTTACTTCAGGTATTTTTGGAACTAGAAATGCTATAAGAGATTAATGTACATAAGAACATTTTATTTTTACTTCTCTGAGCTACTGGTTTACAGGGAAATAGCCACAACATGACAAAGAATTTATCACACTGTCCTCCATTTCTTAACTTCACAGTGAACATAAAGGGACATAAATATCTAATTTCACACAGACAATAACTACTAAAAAGAAATAGAACAGTAAAACAGACACACAGATAGGCATACTTTATCTTCCTAAGTTCTGCTGTTAACTTTGTCTTTAAAAGGAGGTGAAAATTATGGACTACATGGTTTATGTGGACTACCAACCTTTCTTTACTAGATGTCAGGTTCCAGCACAGCTGCAGCATGCTGCTGAGAGGGGTTGTCTCAGACTCCTGCAGTGTGCTGTTTCTTATAAATTATCAGCAAAGAGATCACAACTGCTAACACACAGGTGTTGTAGAATCAATGTGGAGTTCTGATATGAAAACTTTCCCATCTCATCCCCATTCAGGGAAGTACCAAAATCTGTTATTTCTGAAGCTACAGAAACCGTTTTATAAATAGTTCATACAAAAACTAACCTCTAGCTGGTTCTGTCCTTACTTCCTTTCATTGAAGAAATTTTTCCTAATGTCTAATCTAAACCTCCCCTGGCACAACTTGAGGCCATTTCACCTTGGTACCTGGGAGAAGAGACCAACTCGACTCAACTCACCTCACCTCACTGCAACCTCCTTTCAGGTAGTTGTAGAGAGCAATAAGGTCTCCCCTCAGCCTCTTTTTCTCCAGGCTAAACAAACCCACCTCCCTCAGCTGTTCCTCATAACACTTGTTCTCCAGAGCCCCCACCAGCTTTGTTGCCCTTCTCTGGACGTGCTCCAGCACCTCAATGTCTTTCGTGCAGTGAGGGGCCTAACCTGAACTCAGTGTTTGAGGTTCAGCATCACCAGTGCTAAGTACAGGGGGTTGATCACTGCCCTAGTCCTGCTGGCCTCAATTTCTCATACTCTCATTTTCTAGTGTGGATTTGGAAAAACAGACCCTTTTCCATTTTTGTGAATTATACTCATCGTTATAAAGATTTTCTTCTGGCAGACAAACATGAAGGAATCACTGTAAGAAAATATGCTTTCCCGCACTTAGTGACATTCTGCAACAAAGCAGGAGCTGATAGGAACAATTGTGCTATCCCTAATTAAAAAACTAAAACATTACCGAGTGTTTGGCAATGACATCTACATTGCTTTGCAGAAGTGACAGTTTCACTGGAGCATGTTAGAAGGTCATCCTTTCTACATATTGGTATTCAGACTTTCAATGCAATTCTTACTGAGGCGGCTGCTGCCACCATGAATTGAAACTTGAAATATTTCCTATACTAGGATCTCAAACAATTTTTTTGGTAGCCGAGTCCTCCTAGAGAGGGTAAGCACCAAGAAAGCATTTTCCCCTTTAGAAATATTTGTGTTCTTCACTAAATTCAAAACAGAAACATAATAATTTATAAAAAGATAATAGAAGTGTTTGATAAGATACCTACCATGTTTTCTTTTTTATTCAGTAAAATGTCGACTCGTAAGCAGTGGGGAAAACACCATTCATGTTCGGTTTGGGAACAAACATTTCTCTCATATCAAAACTAAAGCAAGCAGAACTAATTGCTGGAATAGCTGGAGGCAAGACTTTTCCCTTTTTTTCCTATCATTAGGCATGCAAATTATTCTTGATTTGTGTTTCCATTACCAAGATGACAGATTTGATTACTCACGCAAAACTTTGTGTGTCAAAATAATTGCTCAATGCAAAGATAGCTGGCAAAATAACATGCACTGAATCCTGATTCAGAATTTATATTTTCAAAAGAGTACTTGAATAACACTCTCAGTGTTTATATTTTGACTTTGCTGAGAAAAATAGCCATGCATGCCTTTGCCAAATAAATCTGTAAGTATCAAGTATGCATCCAGTCTGTCTAAAAGGCAAGATTTTTGCTGGAAGAGACCAAAAGCCAGAATACATTTCCTAGCAAGCCATTTTTTGATTTGCCATGAGAAAGCATAACCGTGCCAAATGAAAAGCAAGCATTGCATCAGTTGAAATTATATTTTTGTTTGGTTTAACCTTTTATCAGAATAAAGGGGAAAAAAAAAGGTTATTCCTTTTGAAATAAGCTGATGAGCTGTTTGAATTCTACTTTGGCAGGGAGCACAAAAAGGAGCAGAATTTGGCCCAGTTCCCTCAAAATGTACCTTTGTAACCAGAAGAATTGCCAGCAGAACTGGAGTCTAATCTCAGCAGCAAAAAATATATATTAAAAATGGAGCTGATTTTTACATACATTGCTAGTGGAATAGTTATGTGTTTGTTAACAGCAGAGTCCCTGAAGGCATTTTTTGGAAGTTGTAATGAGCTCAACTGCTGGGCTCCCAATGAGAACAGAAAGACAAATGTGTGATTTCTTCTTTCAGATGAAAAATTCCGTTGAACTTTGCTGAAAGGTAAAAGTGCAATACAGAGTTTCTGTGGTAGAATGGAAACAGCTTAGAACGACAGCAGGAGATTGTCAGGTTCATGTAAAAGCTACCAATGTGCGTAGTATCTGAGTTTTAGCAAGCTTGGTCAGTGTCAACATCTGGGCTTACTTAAACATGGCTTTCTGTTCATGCAAATTACTTGAAATTCGGTCTATTCATTAAGCAGTCTATATAAATACTGTTGCTAAAGTGTCAGTCTTGTTTGCAGAATTTTTGAAGATATTCATAATTATAATAATTTCCTTGTGCTATATAAATCATGCAGGAAAAGGATCCAGGAAGCTTCACATCACACTTCTGAAATTTTGCACCAAAATTCTGAATTAAAGCTCAAGCAATCCAGCATCAGAACAGCATTTTGGGAATGTTCTCTTTACTGCTCATTTTTTAAATATAATTTCAGACTCACCTTTGCCCTTTCCAGTTCCATCCTCCTGTGGTGTTTTTTGTTCTGTGTAGGAAGTACAAGTATATTTTTGAGAGGATCTTAAAGTAAAAAGAAAAACTTACACAGCATTAAAAAAGACAGCAATATTCTAAGTTCTGTTATTATTGAAAAACTAAGATTAAAGAATTATTGATATACATGTATATGTAATATTCAGTTGTGATCCCATAAAGTATTTTCCAACTCTGTGCGTATCAATGCATTTTCTATGTTTTGAACAAGTTGTATAAGATTGAGGTTCCTGTACTCAGTAGAAGGAAAATACCAGCTTTTTTAGAAGTAGCAATTGTTAACCTCTTGTTCTTGGGCTTATTTACAAAACCCTTTATAATGAGTTACATATCATTGTTAATTTGGATGGAATTAGATCAGACATGAGATAGTGAAAAATATTAATGGTATCCAGAGCTCCACCACTCTAATCTGTTTATCCTTAAGACAAAGTACACCACAAAGAGAGTGTACTGAGTGTGTTCTTAATTCTTTATAATCATCATCTTCATAATCTTTCCTGGGCTATTTGTTTTCAGTTTTCTTGATCAGAAGATTTGCCAGCTTATCCTCTACTCGAAGCACATAAATCTGAATTATCTTTGACCTCAAACGTGTAAGAAAACTTGGACTGCATTTTCCACAAAACAAAAAAATCTATGCTTTCTCTGTTTTAAGATTCAATAGAATTCCTATTCTCTTTTGTTTCCTATCCCATTCATTTTGCATACAAGGCCATTTAGAGACTTTTCAAATCATATGAATTGTACTGTCTTCAAGGCGTAAACACTCAATATTCTACTGCCTGTGAACAATGACTTTCCACAGCAAACTTACCTGTCAGCTGCCTGATAGAACATGGATATGGATGAATACCAATGAACTAGCATTGTCCAGGCGGAGCTAAGATAACTTTTATACTATGGAGAAAATATCTGCAAGAGCCAGTTGATATTATGATTATCCTGATTTCTTGTTCACATGAACATAGACATGATAATTATGAAAATAAAACTTGAAATTTGGAAGACAAGTCCATGTTCTGGAAGTCCAACAGAGCCTCAGTTGCTTCTGTCTGGATACCCTAAGTTTCCAGGCTCCGGTTGTCAGGTCGTCCATCTTGGCCTGATGGTCAAACCTGTTCCTTCTTAATGGGAATTTTGCTACAGTAACATTTTCTTTCCTACTAGGAAATGAGATTAGGAGAATTGACTTGGTAGGTGGTAGGTTCTTGGTAGGTGGTAGCATGTCTAAATACCATTTGAAAACCTCAGCAGGGCCATCAAACCTGATGGCTTGATATTGAGATGTAGAAGGAGCTCTTATAATGGTTTCCCAAAAATTCCTGGTGTAGTTCAAGATGCTGATTATGTCCAATAAACTATGTATCTCTTACAGCATCTGGATTCTTGAACAACCACTTCCCTCTTTATGTGATAGCACTTGGTAATCCAAGATAACAGCATCTTGAGTCAGGCAATAGGAAGCTAGAAGTGACTGGCATTTCCAGCTGAGTTTGGTCTGTGCCTAACCATAAATGTCTACTGACATTCTGCTTGTTTTACAGAAAAGTACAGGTATGGGGAAAAGGAAGGGGGTTATAGGAGTCATTTTGTGTTTAATCCTGTATATTTAAATAGAAACAAAGAAGTTGTTATTTATTTGAAAATGTTAATAGATGTTTTTAATATAATGGTTTAAAGATGTTACTCCTTTCTGTATACAAAAAGCAGCTTATAGTTTCAGTTCTATTTAAAAGTTAAGATTGATGAAGAACATGAATTTAAGTACAAAACATATCACATGAGAACCTCAGTGTGAATATTTTAAAATTAATTATGATTTAGTTAATTTTACGATTAAGATACAACCATCATGAATGAAATATCAATTAACTTTCCTTACAAATACATGCATTATGAAAGAGTTATTCCTAACATAAAAATAATATATGGGTTATTTAAACGTGAATCTCCTTGTGGCAGAAGACATAGCTACCTCCAGACTTTGTCATTTTTTAATGAAACAGTGTGTCCTTTAAAGAAAAATGTCTTCAGTCAACCTCATAAAATGTCAGTTTGCAAGACTGCAAGTAAATCCAAGTTTAACACCTGAAAAATATTTCTTTTGTTTGGTATTGCTGTTTAGGTAGCTACACAGAGAATAAACTCACCAAATGGTTAAATTAGATGTGCATAATGTATATATGTATTAACCAGCATCTGAGGCTATAACTCAAGTTACTCAACGCAAATCAAAGGCTTGCTTACCTTTCCGGCTCCTGCTAAAAGAAAATGTAGCAACTTTGCATAGAGCTTCAGCTTTACCTGAAGCCCTAGTCCTTATGAATAAGTTTTGCCTCACCTAACTTTGTCTTCCTGTAAGTTATTCACCCACTGTAATCTGGACAGCCAGACTCCTGAGGGCAATTGCCTATACATAGACATCCAGTGACATTTTAGATAGGTTATCTGGGAATCGCCCAATAGATGAGCATGTATGACCCAGGATATGCTCCACTGGTTACTGGTGGAACACTGTTGAACAACGTAGACAAGATATCAAATTTTCAGATGGCTGAAATAAGGTGAAATGAATCCCATGCTTGATTCTGTCAACTTTACTTACAGCGTGCCTTCGAGGAGAAATGAAAGGGAATATTTTGCTAATTAGATGCTGTTCAGCATCAAAGACAGCGTAATTTAGCCACAGAATTTAAGCAGTCATAATTTTCCTGTATGCTGAAGGACTTTTACATCATTATGCAAGCAAGTCTCTTGCAAACAAAATTTGAGTCTGAAAAAATCAACATTCAGGCAAAGTGAAGTGAGAATATCTTATTTGGGCAGGCTTTCTTACTTTTCTTACTGTCCTCTCACTTTCAAAGGGATAATGAACATATTATGTCTATGCAGTATCTAGTCTCATGCAACTGTTGTTAGTGTTAATGTGCAAATTTACATTTTTTACACTAACCTGGAGGTGGTGCAGTTTCAGTTTCAGTCTCTGAAAAATGAGAAAAGAAGACAGATATTGAGCTTCAAGTAAAAGCAAATATTTTCCACACATTTGGTATGTGCTTGCTGAATTCAGGCACAATTTGGATTCCTTTAATATTTAAATGCAATTTTCAGTTATTTTTTTTGCTTTCACACATGTGACACATGGCATCTTCAGTGTTACATGGTCAGAGGCCTAAAGCTTATGCTCTGTGAAGAGAGAGTACTGAACTTGTTCAATCTGGAGAGATAAAATAGTCATAGAATCATAGAACCATTTAGGTTGGAAAAGATCTTTAAGATCGAGTCCAGCCATTAACATAGCAATGCCAAGACCACCACTAAACCATGTCCCTCAGCAACCACATTTACGCGTCTTTTAAATACGTCAAGGGATGGTGACACAACGGCTTGCCTGGGCAGCCTGTTTCAATGCTTGGCAACCCTTTCAATAAAGAAATTTTTCCTAATATTCAATCTGAAACTCCACTGGCACAACTTGATGCCATTTCCTCTTGTCCTGTCACCTATTATTTGGGAGAAGAGAGCAGCCTCCACCTCACTACAACCTCCTTTCAAGTTATTGCAGAGAGTGCTAAGGTTTCTCCCTGATATAAAGATCATCTATTTGAATGGATTCATATTAATTTATATAGGTGAGCTCCAGTACATTTTGGGACCTTTTGGCAATTCCACTTTAGGACAGTTCTGGAATATTGTGGAATCCCAGCTGAATTTCAGGTTTGGGTTTGATTTGTTTAAGTCAATTGGTCTTGAAACTATGCTTAAATGTATAACATACCACATTGATATGCTTCTATCAGATGATATCCTATGTTAAAGCAAACTTTCCATCAACTGGAATAATATCTGATATGACTTTAACCACCAGGTCTAATGGACTCCATTAACTGAGGAGGATCATGCACAGGGAATCCAGAGACCTTGATCACATTTTCAGCACATCGTTAGATCTAGAGTTCGGTATTCAGTGCAAGCAGAAAGTAAAAAGATCAGCTTAGCTGCTCTGTGTAGGAGCTACAGTATGTATGATTTTTCTTTCTTTCAGCTGTGGTTTTTAGTCTAAATCACTTCCCTTTCAGATGTGTGATACAGAAACCAGGCTTTTTATCCTATTTAAGTGTTATCTTCTTGGGGTAACATGTTTTCTGATCTAAAAACATAAGAACAAACTACCTAGATAAAATTTATCTTTAAAACATTAAAGGAAGCCTATTTTCAACCTGTAAAAGCCTTAGGACTCTAGACTGCTTGAAAATATTAATACTTATTGGAGATAATGCATTGAATTATAGTTTAACTACTTGCAACAAGCAAAGATTTAAAAGGTTTTAATTTTAACTGTAACAGTAGATGACTCTTGCTAACCTTTGTCATGTTATGGGTATTAACCTTTGGGACCCCACCTCAGATCATATTCAGGAAATAAAGTTTCAATTTCTGTCACACAGAAATGCTGGTAAGGCTATTCCTTTGCACTCAGATCTAAATATAACTAAAACATACTTCTCATTCTTAATAAATCCATTTAATATTTAAAAGGGAGGAATACTTTTAGTACAAAAATAATTTTTAGCTGAGTGTGTGAATTTGATATGGTTCAGGAACTTCCAGCCGTGTATGCGGATGCTATAGCAAATCCTTGTAGAGGGTCCAAAAAGAATCCCTCGCTGCAGGGAAAGAGCTCAGTGCTGTACATTCTGGTCACGGTACCCATCATGCAGAATAAAGGGGAGACATAAAGTCCAATAGCAATAAAATAGCTGTACTTCAGCTCATAGCAATTTGTTTTTTTCTGGTTTTACTAACATACTAAGTTTTGGTTGTGGCCTAGTAAAATACAAACATTTTTCATATGAAAATATGGAAATTCCACCACAAAAATTACATCTTGGAACATGTCCCATTTATTACCATAACAGTTTTGACTGCCTACATTGAGAATAAAATGACATGTCTGTCACACAGATGTCTATTTCTTGCATGGAAAAGTAATAGCAGAAAATTATTGACTATATACTTGTCTTTTTTAAATTTAATAGCTAGAAACAGGGAGTATTCTTAGAAACACTGAATTAGAAAATTCTCCCTGGCTCACCAGCAAGATCCACAAATTTATGAACAAAATTTCACCAAACTAAGCACTTTCCAGGCTCAGATGAAAGGATTATGAGCCTTTTGAGGGACTTGCCTTGATTTTTTTTATTTTGAAAGGTATTTCATAGCTTTGTCACACAGTAGTGTTGGTCAGAAATCACACATCTTTCCAGTCCTGTCTTACCTAGCAGTAGGCACAGATGTTAGCTAAAAAGCTACCGCATGGATCAGTCCTGAGACGCTATGATTATAATTTAAACTTCATTTCATACATGCAGACATACAAGGAGATATTCAAAACCTGAGCAATGTCATGAACAGCCTACTCTAGATGACCCTGTTCCTAGCAGGGAGGTTGAACTAGACAACCTGCAGAGGTCCTTTCCACCCTCAGCTGTTCTGCAATTCTGTGATGGGATGATGACTGAAACCAGACCAAGAAGTCAGTGGTTTCTTTCCCAAACCACAATTCAAAGCTGTTCGGGCTATTGCTAGGAAAACCGAAGCAAGAACTGAGCTCCGGGGAGAGACCTGAAATATGGTGTGTGAGGAAAAAAGGAAGGGGCAGAGCTCCAGGCAGGCATTGGGGGTGGCAGAGACATGGGAGATACTTCAACATAATCTTTTGGCCATGTGTGACCCCTTTCATGGTCATGCTTGGCTTACAGATCCATTCCTGAGGACAGCCAGGAAAAAACCCATTAATAGCACCGAGTAGTTTCCACCTCCCCAAAGAATGATAGCCCTCTCTGGCTGACCTCTGCAACAGGCTTTTCAGCCAGGAAAGGGCTCTGTGTGCTCAACCAGCAGCTTATGGTTGTGCTTCTTCCCTAGGCAACATGCTCACTGGAGTCCCCAGATGCCATTCCCAACAGCCCCATTACCTAATATGGTGCTCTGTCGAGGCATTGTCAAGGGGGCTGGCAGTGGAGAAAGCGTTGTCTCCAGCATGCACACCTCAGCCCCTTGGGGTTGAAGACGTGTTCTTCACTGGGTTCTAACGATGCCTCCTGAGTTACAGTGTAAAGAGGCTGTTGAAGTCCAACTACTGCTGGATTGATACCGTAATGTTCGGCTGGGCCTTCTACTAAGCAACTAAAGTTAACTCCTGCCTCACAGTTTCTAAGACAAAAGGGAATGGTCTCTTCTTTGCAGTTCTTTATTTAAGAAGCCAATAATGTTACATTTCAGTGGGCTGTGTTGTGTTAAACACAGACCTTGGGTTATTCAATGGTTGTAAAACATGTAAAGCAGCTGGCTATCTGTAATTCTACAGCAAGAAAAGAAATTAACTTAGCAGCCCTTTCTACATGGCTCCTCAGAAAGGACAGTATATTAAGAAGTGTATTTAGCAAATAAAGTGAAAGCACAACTGTCACTTAGATAACATCCAAAAATGCTTTCATGCCTTAGCCATGTCATGAGATGCATTCAGGATTCAGTCTGATATAGGATATGAGCACTTAGAGCCAAGACATTTTGATTTGTGATTTATAATTATACATGCACATGTATACTCTTGCAAATCAGCAGGAGATGCAATTTGACCCATTACCAGCAATTTTCCATCTCTGTTCCACATTTACTATGTCCAGCTTTTCAGATAAAAAGACTTAAAATCTCATGCTATGCATATAGATGAGTAAGCTTTAAAAAGTTCCATGAGATTACCCATATGCTAAAGTTATGCTTAAGTACTATTTTAAATTGGGAATATCATTATTTAAAATTTCAATTCCATTTTAGGTCTGGCTGTACTGACATCTGACCTGCAATAACCACGAGAAGTTTTGGCAGGCAACTGGCAGGGTGCTTATGTGTGGTGGTAGCTAGTTTTCAAGGGTTCTAAGTTCCCATTTCCACTGGCTTCTGTGACAGCAACAAGCATAGAAACTCCCTGACATCATATATATTACTTTTCACATCGGAGTGTAAACATAACGAGGCATGCTGACAGTTCTAAAATAGTCTCCAGGTCCTACTCTACTAAGGAGCTAGGAGCAAGGTATTCTGGACACTTGTGGTTCAGAGCATTTGAGAGCTCCAGGTTATCAGCAAGCATATTGGGAAAGAGGTCTGGCTGGATAACCCTTATCATCTTACAACTCTGTACTCATGACCAGGGTTTTTTTGGGTAGGCTTAGGAACTCTCAGTGATATTGGAAAATGAGTAGTGGAGGTTGTTGGTTTTTATTCCCTTAGGTGGAGGAAATAACCTTGAGTATTAAATCAGGGCTTTCACAAAGTCTAAAGATAGCATTTCGCCATCACCGAGCTGGAACATTGACAAGAGGGAGGAGAAAAGTCTCCTACACTAATTTCTCTCTGCAGTTAGATTGGTTACAACCCAGCAAAGACTGGTCTGAACAGTCAAGGGATTCAGGACCTCACCCAGTCTGACCAGAGGGCTTACTCCCATTTACCTGAAAGGGAAACCAGGACTCTTGCTGCATCACTATGGATACAGGTATGATATCTGTCTGTGTGACATCAGCGTATTAAAGTGACTTTCATATGTCAAAGAGCACGAGAATGGTCACTGAATGCTTTTTGTCACAAAGACCTGTCAACTTGTGTCAAATTTAAGTAGGTGGATTAAGCTTGTGGACATAGCCTCAAGGGATCAGATAAATATAACTATTACGTAGGCATTCCTAAAGTGATGACTCTGCTAGTCAGACGAAAATAGACAAAATTCTAGTTTGAGGAGAGAGCGTGGATCACCCCAGGCCTTGTGCAGTTGTCCTATGTAGGGTTTGTCCCCGTGCACAGCCCCTGTAAGACACAAGAACTGCTGATGTGGCACATGGCTTTCTCCTGGGGTAGATGCTCCACTGAAATTGGAGGGCAGGGAAGGACCAAGGACATGGAACAGTTGCTTGACAGACC